GCTTGCTTGCTTGCTGCTTTGTTCTGTTTTGTTTGTTTCTTGGTTTCTTTAGCTCACTTGGGAATGATGCAAGCTCACCATGATGTAAGTCCTTTCCTTGGGTGGATCTCTTCACTTAGGTTGTGGAACTACAGAAAATTGAGCAGATCATTAATTTACCCGCAGTTGTTGCTTTTTGAAGAAGAAATCATTGAGTTTTAAAACTCTCACCTAGTACATGTGTTTTTGCTGATGAAGCCAAAACAAGCCCCAATCTGAGGTGTTGCTCCGAGACGTGACGTTGGCTTTCATTTCCTAAAGGGTGTTGGTGTGTGTGTGTGTGTGTGTTTATGTTTGCTTAGGGTTCTGAAGCCACGAAACACATTTAGTTTCTTAATTAAAGCCTATCCCAAGTCCTTTGGATGCGGTGCTGCTGGTTGCAGAAGCAAATGCGCCGTGAGCCAATGTTCAGCCAACCCTTGCTACACCATATCCTCGTGTACCTTACTTGCCGGCTTGGTCGCGTATTCCTGAAGCAAACCAAGCAGTTCAAACCTTCGCCCTGAAACCCATGCGCCGCTATTGACCATGTAAACCTTGACTCTAAAAGTAAACACTGAGCCTATTCCCGTTTACGTTACCTTGTGGCGTTTGAATGACAACAGCTGCTGGCAACCCAGCTGTTGGCCGGTCCTCTCGACCACTTGCCGCGTAAACACGCGGTGGGCCAATGAGCAACCTGAATAGTCAGCGCATACCAAGCGGGAGGTGCTGTTTGCAAGGATGCTGGATGGCGATGCTCGAATAAATGTCCAACGGCGGATTTTAGGACCTCCCCGGTTTAGAACATGTGACAGGGCTCCGTAAGATTTTCACCAAGCACCCTGGGATTGAAATCGAGCGACCTTTCGTAGGGGCAATGGCGAAAAACATGGAGCCCTGCTGAAGCTTGCAACAGGGATTGCCGGTGAGAGGTACCCTGTGTCCTTCGATGACGTGTTCTACACCATCGGCCGCGGCTTCGACTTCACTGCACGCGAGAGGCTCAGGCGCTTGCCGCCAAATGGCCGCTGGAGAGACGGAAGGCACGGGTGCCCGCTGAGTCAGCAAGAGGTTCAGGTAGGGAGTGAAAAGTACGGTTAAGAAGGAGCAAGCCGCAATCACTCACTTCAAAACAGTTTCAACAGTTTCTGGACAGGCTTTGGAAAGCTGTTTTGGGTAGGGAAGCGGGCTGTTGTCTTGGTTGTTTGTGGGCAGGAGTCAACTTCGTGTTTTGCCTATGGCCCATAACTGGAAAATGGAGTTGTCCAGTTGGCTTTCCTCGTGATGCCTCAAACAGAGCGCCGGAAAAACCCACCCACATGTTCCCGTTATGTTTGTCAAAATCGCAGGGGTGCTGGTGGGCAGGACAACCAGAGACAATGACACCCGTGAAAGGCAACCAAAGGAGCTTTGGATGCGAACATGATGGCCCAACGTTGGTCCACCCTAAGCCTTCCATCAACTTTCTCGGGCGGAATGCTTTCTCACGCCTGAAGCCTCGGCAAATCGTCAGACGCGAGCAACCCAGTTCGGTCAGCAACGGGGAACGCGAAGTGCTCTTCGTTTGCGGCGAGCAAAATCCACTCTGCCGCAGGTCAAACGGATCTGCTGAAAGGGTTTGACACCCATGAAAACATTCGAGGCGTAGCACGCCCCAAGCTGCGAGAAGAGCCCCTCGCGCCGGCAGATGCCTCCGGCTTGGTGAATGTTGTTCAGGGGCATGCCCAAAGGTGCAAGATGAAAGTAGATGCAATTCTCTCGAGCGGTCTTGGTCACCATGCTTCCCAGTTGTCCGGTGGCTTTGGTGAGGTTCCTGTAACATCAACCAAGAACGATGCTGGAAAGCAAGAGGGCAACCAAGTGTTATTCCAGAAGTAAATACTATAATGTTTGACGAAAACTTGACCTCCTAAAAAATAAACCGCTCTTCTGGCTTACTTCAAAGGCTCCTGGAAGCCACTCACTCGGGGTCCAACTGGTAAGAAGTCCTTCCCCCTATCAAGTTTCATTTGGGTCAGACCGGGGCGTCACAGCCCTGCCTCAGCCGGGCATAGCTTAAGCTGAGGCCAAGAGGTGCTCGACCCGCTGCTGGAGCAACTGCTGGGAAGGCAAGCAAAGGGCTCGACGAAAACGTCCTGCGTGGGTTTGACCCGGTTTTTCACTTTCCCTTTCTGGATTCCCATGTTTTTCCAGAGTCGTGGGTTTGAAGTGGTTGTTTTTCACCTCCCCTTCTTGGATTCCCGGTTTTTTTCCCACTCATTTTGCGCTTCTCAAGCATCCAGAAGCCTTGTTGCTTCGGATGCTTCACGCCCTTCTCAAGTGGTCATAAACACCCCCATCACCTTCACCGAGCTAGAGTAGTTTGAACATCGGGGTGTTTGAGGGCCTTTTGATGGGTTTGGTGCAAGCGGCCAGCCTCACCAGATGGCTACACGCTTTCTTGGCCAACCAAATTGGCAACCGATCCGATCCGATCCCTAGCCATTCATTGGCTCAGAAGTTCCGGCTTTCGATCCCGCCAGCTCCGATGGGCGTTGGTATGGACGGCCTCATGGACCTGGACTTGAAGCTGGGCGAGGAACTGGGACGCGGCGGCTTCGCCACGGTCTTCCAGTGCGCCACGGTCGCGTTTGTTTTTTCTTCCTTTGTTTTAACGAAAGGTTCGGATCAACTCTGCTTGAAGGCAGGGCGAACCCCGCATTCCCCTTTTGAGTATAAACATCGCCTTTCGGACAAGTCGCAAGTATTCTGTAGCCGCTGTAGCGCGGAGCCCCCGGTTCAGTGTGGCAAGGGTTCTTACCTCAAAGCATCCCACAAGGGGATCCTCCTGTCAAGTCTGGGACCGAGGCTCGCAAGGCACGCAAGGCAGGGACCTGGTGGCAAAGGTCTTCAAGGACGCTCAGAGAAATTGTGGGCGGATGCCGTGAGGGGCTTTGCAAGTGAACCAATCAATCGTTTTGTGAATTAAACCTTGCTTGCAATATGTAGGGCATCCACCCGATGTGTGTTTTTTGAAAAAGGGGGCCACATTATATACCTGCAGCGGCCAGCGATCCCAAGAGGACCTGTCAGAGGTGAGTCTAGTTGCAAGCAGCCATCTCTTTTGTGACTTGAGAGGAATCAGCGGGCCCCGAGTTGTGGTTTTTCTTGGGCCGGTTCGTGGCAGGGTTCGGTCGGCCAGTCCGCTACATCCGTTGTTTTGTTCTTTTCTCCAGGCTGGCTTTGTGGCTTTGTCGCTTTTGGAAAGTTTTGCGGCTTTTGGTGGCTTTTCGACCCTGGGCCCACACTAAACCACAACTCAACCCACCCTAGGCTCAAACCAAACCTAAACCCATGCCCAAGCTGGCCGCCCTAAGCCACCCTAAACCAACTCCAAGCAGACCCTCATTCGACCAAACCAACCCCAAGCAAACCCGAAAACACCCGAAACCAGTTCAAAACCACCCAAATAAGCCCTAAACCCACCATTCACCCATCCTAAACCAACCTTAAACCACGCAACACCAACCCTAAGCAAGCCCCAAAGCAGCCCACCCCCAAACTCACCCTGAACCAGCGCTAAACCATCCCCATAAACCACATTAAATCAACCTGAAACAGACCCTCAACAAAGCCTATACCAACCCTCAAGCCTAAACTTGCACTAGATTTAGCCCAAACCAAAGCTTCTGGTGATGCTGGGGGTGTTGAACAGGATGCTGGGGTGCATTTTGTTAGGAACTACTGTAAAACTACTGTTAGGCGCGCCGAACCTAGGAACAAAAAGCCCACCGAACCTAGGAAAAGAACAACTTCCGCGAAGAATCAGCCTGCGGATTTTGGCTAGCAACTTTTCGAGTCAGGTTCCATATTTCTTGATGGATCAAGTTGGTGCGTTTGCTTCCTCAGCAATGCAGTTGGCATTGGCAACCAAAGCACCTCAAGGCTTTCGCGCAACATGGAGAGGCCAATGTTTGCCTTGTGTTTCGTCTCCCGTAGAGTGGAGACAAAATCCTGCAATTGAAACCATGGTTGAAAGCATTGCTTGTCGGTATCATCATAAAACCTTCGGGGTTTCTTAGGTGGTGGGAACTGGTTTTCGCGAAGCCATCCACCGGATCTGCGGCCGGCAGCACGCCCCGCAGGAGGACGCAAAAGGCGCAGAGCTCGCGGTCCACGAGGAGCGGATGCTGGCCATGGGGAAGGGTCACCCCAACCTTTTGCAGTCCTACGGCCTCTTCAGGCCGGGCGCTGGCGAAAATTCGCAAAAAATATCCAAGGAGAGCGCATCCGGACACCATGGGTGTGCATGTTTCTTCGGATGCCTGTTGGTTGGGGCTGGAAAAAATAAAAGCAGGCGGTTCGAGACAAAAAACACCTGCGGCTTGCTTGGTGGCCGGCGGGAGAGGAAAGCAGTGCCACTGTGTGTGCTTTTGCTAAGCTCGCCAGAGCATTGCAACACATATAGTCTGTAATATGACTTGTTTCTGCCACAAAAGACAAAGCGAAATTGTAAAAATGCTCATAGGATACATTGTACAAATATGTGTATATGTATATATATATATGCATATGCGGATGAGACATATCCAGCTTTCCAGTGGCAGCGTTGTCCCTTTTCCTTTGGATTCCTCAGCGAGTGTCGCAGCGCTGCGGCTGGGCGTGTTTGTACAATCGGAGGTGCCCGCAACCATTCAAAGCGCCACGTTTGTGAATGCAAATTCAGAGAGAGCAATCGTATAACCGCGGGGGGGGGGGGGTCCAGCTAGGGTTCAGGCGTGGCGACATTTTCGTTGAAGGAACATGGGCTTCCCTTCTAGGGGGTCGCTTTCATGTGCGAGGGTATCCGTGCGCCATATGATGTATCCCCACAGTAACCCCGTGTTCCCCCCAAAAAAATCGCTCTGAGCCCTGGCAAAACCCTGACGTAGCACTAGGCTGCGTCGGGGTTGAAGTTGTCGCCAAGGTTGGGTCCTTGCGCAGTCTGCAATCCAGCTTCTGCTTGCCAGACGCCACGGTCGAGTCCGTTTATAAATGTGTCGGGTTTGAAGCCTGACATAGGGCTGGCCTACGTCGGGATAGCGTTAGAGGGAACGTGGCGTCAGGGAGAATTTGGAATCACAGCCGAAAAATGGGGCGTCACAAACAATTTTGCGTCACAGGGGAATGTGGCATCACGGGAATGTGGCGTCACAGGGGAATGTGGCATCACGGACCGATACGGAATGTGGCTTCGAATGTGTCTTCAGCATCAGGCGCAACAGTGCTACCCATCTCCCAGCTCCCTGGACATGCTAAATGTCCCATGGCTAGCTTTGACTGTGGCTCGTGTGAGTTGACAAGATATGTTTCTTGCCAGTTGATTGACACATTGGCTCCATCGAGTCGCGATCATCCTGCCAAGGTCTCGGCGGAGCACCTCGGCGCCCGGGATGCTGCCCGTTGGGGATGCGCTGCTGCCGCTCGGTGAATCTCTTGCGGTTAGCCTGGGTCACGGCATAAGTACCTAAGCCGTGGTTGTCCCGTGTTTGACGTCTTTTCGTGTTGCTTTTCCTGCTTCTCAATCCTCCAGTGCTCTTCTAGTGCTCCTGTAGTGATCCTTTAGTGACACTCCAGTGATCCTCTAGTGCTCCTCTATCGCTAGTCCTCTAGTGATTATCTAGCGCTCCTTAAGGATTCTCCAGTGATCCGCTAGTGATATTTTAGTAAGAAGTTACGGCCTCCCCACACATTTCTCTAGTACACCAAAAGGCTGGAGCTAGAGCCCCAAAAACCGACCCAAAAAACGATGCCAAAACGGGGGTCCCCAAGCCCTGGGTCAACTTCGTGACAGTGCCCCCTTTGTTCGGCGGAAAAAGGGCCCCTTCATTTTTGAAGCGCGGAGCGCGAACTTCAGTCCAAATTGTTTTTCAGTTGTTCGGTCGTTTGCAGACATTCCCCTAAGAAGGTGGGAAGGGGATCCCTTGCCATGGGTGATCTTGATTCTGCACCAGGTGTTCGGGGAGTTGTTTGCCAAATCGCGTAGATTTTCTGCATTCGCACTGACAGCGCCTTGCGAAAGGCTGGAACGCTGCGACGCGCCTCTGAAAAGCTTCTTCGGCAGCGTCCGCTTTAGCGACGCGCAGGCGGGAGTCCTTTCGCAACCACGCGTGCTTCACCGTGCTTCACAAAGAGGGACCCCTCACGGGCGAATGTCGTTTCAAAATGCAGGGCTTTTTTTCATGGCTTTTCCTTTGAACATGCCAAATTGAGGGTGCAAATTGCGTGCGGGCGGGTGGGGTGGGTGGGTGGGTGGGTGGGTGGGTG